TGACATGCAGAGTGACGTCCGTGAAATCAAGGAGGATGTGAAGGTGTTGATGGATATGCTCCGCAACATGGAGGTACGAATCATACATGGTGGTGTTGGGTTTAATGTAAAGGTGTCTACTGCACAAACCCGATGAATGCGATTAATGAGATTGCGTAGCAACGTCAGTCGGAAGCTATTACTAGTTAATTACTTGTTATTGTATCATATTTTTAGATTTCATTTATTACTTTGCATGCACGACACTCTTATCATATTTACTGGCCGATATTATTTTGTTAGCGAATTTGACTTGATGTTGAAGTGTCATTCATTGATCTGAAAGTGTGGAAGAAGTTTTTATTCATTAGTTTATTTTGATAATTACAATTCTTTTAAGAGCAATTAATAATAAATTAGCTATTAAAAGCAAAATAGTCTTTTAATATTAATATTATCTTAGTATTTTTTAATCTTACGTATAAATGATGAATTAATAATCAATTAAAGGATAAATTATTTTTTTAATCTCGTAATTAGTTTTCATTATCATTTTAGTCGCGTAACTGATGTTTGTAAATAGTCCCGTACGCAAAAACATTTCGAACATTCAGTTCCCCGGCGCCGAAGATACCCGTGTGGCATGCCAGAGGACACGTGTTCGTCAGGTAAGCGTCGCTTGGCTGAAACATGAAAATTTTATTATTTTTTATTTTTTAAAAATAAATCAAACAAGGGCAACATTTTCTTATTTAGTAATTGTATTATCTATCTAATATAATAAATACCCTTACAATTTACAATTTATTATACAAATTTCATTACTTTTATATTACACAATACAACTAGGGATATTTTATCTTTTTTTACTACAATCTAAAATAATACTAATACTAAAAAATTTACGTGCAAAAAATAAATGGTTTTTTTTTTTTCGGGATGAAGGGAATATTAATTTTATGTAAATTTATAAAAAAATATGTTTTTTTTAATGTTTTATAATACATGTAGTTGAAAAAAATAAAAAAATATTTTTTTTTATAATACATCAATTTTTAAAAAATAAAAAAAATAAAAAAAATTTTCATGTGTTTGCCCGGTGGCGCTTACTAGGCGGACACGTGTCCTCCGGCGTGCCACACAGACATCTCCGGCACTGAGGGACTAAATTTGCAAAAACATTTCAGTTACGGGACTATTCAAGATAGACTCCAGTTACCCTTAATTAAATTAAGCTACTATTATGATCAGACTATTTTATTCTAAATAATAATTCATAACATATAATTATGATGAACAAAATAATACTCCCTTTGTCCCACCTACCATGTCCGCATTGTCGTTTCTCCGTCTCACATCTTATGTCACTCTTTTTTTTTGGAAAATAATTACACACCTTAATCTCATTTTAAATTTTATAATTTAATTATTTTTTAAATTTAATTAAACTAATTAGTTATCTGAATTCCCCATAACTCCCTTGTAGTTTCGAAATTCAGCGTAAATTCTCTTTTTACTTTAAAATTTGCATGGAACCCCTTACTTTAAAAAATGTTGCATGAAAACCCCTATGTGGTTTCGAAACTCAATGTAAATTTCCACTTTACTTTAAAAAAATTGCATGACATCCCCTTATACTTTCAAAAATATTGCATGAAATCCCCCGCCATACAAAAAATATGGATAGGAAATCATCATCCCATTGCCCTCCCAGAGACTTTGTGGGAGAATAATACAAGCGTCGTGCTGCTAGGATACATCGGTAGGGGAGCGTTCCGCCTTAGCGCGAGACAACTCTCACTAAGGAACTCTTACTAATGTAATTTCCATTACTGATGGACAAATCTTTTTATCTGCTGATCCACATGGATAGTTCAATGTGCTCATCGGCGCTTGACCCTAAGATGTGGATCATCCGATAAGTAAGAGTCAAAAAATTGGAATTCATTAACGGAGGTTTCATAGGGGTGGTGGGGTTTCATGCAATATTTTTGAAAGTATAGGGGAGTGCCATGCAACTTTTAAAGTATAGAGAGATTTTACGCAAAAATTTGAAATTACAGGAGAGTTATGAGCAATTTTACCTTTAAATAATAAAAAAATTATACATTTAAATATATTTAATATGAAATTCTTCTAATAAAAAATACTTGTCTATTTTAAATAATACCAAAATAAATATTGAAATGTGTAGTTCATGTTGTTGTAGTTTATTATTTTGCAAAATTTTTAGATATGACATCTTGAAGAGTAATTTAAAAATTAGCCATCATCTCGTCCAATTCTGGTTCCGCCACTGATTCTACAATATATTATTTAGTTATATTGAATCATATAACTATAATTTAAATGTATTAATCACCCACCACCACATATTACTATCACCATTATTAGTATTATTAGTATTATTATTTTCTTCCATGATTCTTCTTTCAAATTTTTGAAAGTTTTCTCCAAATTTATCATTATCCATTGTTGTATGAAAATTATCATCACCTAACTTTGATTGATTATTGACCTCTCCGTCAACTGCTTTATCCACTATTTACGTTTATTATAATCAGATATGGCAGAAGCTGTAGTGAACGTTACAACTACGATTATGGTTCCGAAGATGATGCTTGATCCTATGGTGTTCTTTATCCAAAATCCCTCCATGTCCATAAGTTCTTGTGCTTGCAAGTGAAAAGGATTTTCGGGTTTTTTTTTTTTTTTTGTTCCTTATTTAATTTTTTTGCTTTGGTTGGTGATTTGCATCCTTTCACAATCAAATATATCCTTATTCACATTCAAAATATTGACTTCATGTATTAGCTTGTTTATGAATATGTAAAGCATTCAACAACAATCCAACACAATATCGATTGCTTAAGTCATTAAGATAGTCCAGACACCCCTGAATCAATGTTGATGTGACTTCCAGTGTCATGGGTGGTTTATGATGTTGAATAAATCTACCTTTGTTTATGTGTGAAATATTGTAATTATTGTATTCCATAACCTTCATAATTTCGACCATACAACTCTGTACGCTTAGGAATATGTTATTTAATCTCTTAGGAGATAAACTATCAAATGATAATTGTACAACATTAACTAATTGGTTTGATGTATAATATAAACTATCAAATGATAATTGTACAAAATTAACTAATTGGTTTGATGTATAATAGTCTTTCTTTATTTTAATACTTTGGATGGCTTGAAATCAGCTCAAATCATTCCCATTGAGATCGAAGGAATTCAATGGTTGGATTATTAAGCGGATGTCCAGCCTATTGTTGCTGCTACAAGTTTGAAATCAACATCTTTATTGTGATGTAGATGGTACGACAATAATTTACCGATCATTTTATTTTATAGTTGAAAAAATATGCATGAATCCCAAACAATTTATAAAAATTCAGTCATTTTGTCTTAAATTTCAAATAATATAATTTGTAAAATGTGCCATTAATGTGTTACTTTATTGATTATACAACTTTTAATAAATTCTTTTTTGATTGAATCAATTTCTTCTATCTTCAAAGTGTCAACTAAATTTATTCCTACTTTTTCTCTTAGTCAAAATGAAATGTGTGAAGTGAAATATTCTTATCTTTCCATTAAATAACACTATACTATGGTGAAAAGATATGACAACTAACAAATTGCATAAACATCAATTTATTCTTTTTAGTAACTTTTGTATTGTTCTACCTCACAGACATTAAGTAAAATCTTTGTGTTTGTCGTGTACAATATAATCATTTTTCGTTGATATAAATAGTATTTTTTATTATCTAAATTTCAAGACCTTCTTCATGGTATCCCAAACAATTGATTCAAGTGCATATTTAAGACGTATTAATTTGTTTGGAGTTGTTAGAGATGATTTTATAATATTAATGGGCTTTAAGATCTTTTTTCTTAATTCATCGCTAAACATGCCTTAAAGCAGTTTATAGTTGCAACGAGCTTTCGTATTACGCAATCCAATGCTTTCAATCAATTTATAATCAATTACTCTCTGTCATTTAAACTTATATTTATTTATTTTTATTGTCATAAGGAAATATTCATGTTATTTTTTTTAAAAAAAAATAAAAATACCATTTTTCGTATTTTTCTTTACTATAAAAGAAAATATATTTTTTTTTGTTTTTATCCATTTATTTTAAAGCTTGTGCCCGCTCACATAGTGATGTTATAATTACTAAAAGGACAATTGTATACATTACCGTGAAACGGATGAAAATGGAAAAAATGTATATGTCAAGGTGGAACGGAGAAAGTATTATTATAAAATATTATACTCCATCACCTTTGAACAATTGACTCATTTGTTCCGGGAACAATTATTTAAGTAATGTAGATTATTAATTTATTAATAATAAGTTATAATATTATTATATTTTATATATTTTTTTTTATATGAGTAGTGTCGTTAGTATTTTAAAAATACAAATGAATATATATGATTAAAAGAAATTAAGAATATATGTTTGAAATATTTTTAATTTTATATCTTAATAAAATATATATAATATAGATATTATTTTGTAGATAATAAAATTTTATATAATATAAGTAAATAAAAAAATATATTTATTTATTTATATTTAAATTAAACTAATTATATAATAAATGAAAAAACTTTAGCATTGGAAAAAATATTTATTTATTAAAAAAGGATAGAAATAAGGAAGTTTGAAGTGATCCTGCTTCTAATATCTTATAAATTTAATTACGTTGATTTATTTATTTTAATATATTTAAAATGAGTAAATTTAAATGTATTATCTGTTCTGATACGAATATACAGAAAAAAGATTTATGACAAATGGACTATTATACAAATATTACATATAATTTAACATAGAAATAATAGAATTTTGAGTAATGTCTATTAAAAATTTAATTAAATTAATTTTTATTTATCAATTATATTTAATTAAATGTATATAACGACTGAGGGAGTAGTATACAAATATTAGACCTTATTTTAGGGGAGTTGGGCAGGACAGGGCAGTTCGGGCCGGCGGGCACCGGGCAGCTTGATCCCCAGCCCATATAAAGAAGCAAAGGAAAAATGCTAAGAGAAAACGCAAATTGAAGAATGGCGTGGAGGGGACAGCTCTCGCGAAATCTCAAGGAGCTTCGCATCCTTTTCTCTCCTAATACTCCCTCCAGTTCTGCTACCAGGTTTCATTTTCAATTCCTGATTTCACTTTCTTGCTCAGCATCGTCTTGTTGTCGGCCGTGACCGTCGCTTTTGTTCTCTTCTTGCTAGATCTTTCATCGAGAATAATTACAAGGATCTGAAGACCAAAAACCCTAGACTTCCGATTCTCATCCGTGAGGCCACTGGCATTGAACCGCAGCTTTGGGCTAGATATGGTAATTTATAAGTTCAAATAAATCGTTTCTGATTTCTCTCATGGGTAATGTAAAGGCGCAATTAGGTGTTATATCCGTCTGTTTATATGGGTGAATTCTTCTGTGTTTATCTCAGTTTATGAGTTTAGAATATGCTTGGGCACTGCTTTACATTGACAGCATGAGATTTAGGGCTTTTAAGGTTGTTAGTCCAATCTCGGCTCTTGTTATTTTTCAATTCTGAAGGCATATTTTGGTGGCTGCGGAATCATAGTTTGGTGTTGTTCTACTCTTTTCCAAATTCAGCAAACAAACTATCTAGTTGGGTCTGTTTGCAAGAGCTTTTTACTTATTTCACTAGATGAATTGGTGGTAGTAATCTTAAAAGGTTAACTGTTGTGATCCGAAAAAAAAATAAATAAATAAAGTGTTTGTTTTGGTGATTCCGGAAGATCAATACGCTTATTCGTCTTAATGAAAATGTTTTGATTTTAAAAAAACAATGAAGTTTCAAAGAAACCATATGGGAGGCTGAAAACTGCTTATTTTGAACAATCAGAAGCAGGAAATCATAATCAGCTTGCAATGTGTTTTTTTTTTTTTTTATCAGAAGCACATATGTTTTATATAATATATATATATGTGCATATATATATATGTAAGTAATTGCAATCAATATATGATTTCACATTGAAGCATATTAATTCATATTCTACGTTTGAATTAGATCACGGTTCATCTATGAAAGATACAAGCCTTCCTTGTTTAGGTTCCTTGAAAAACATTGGAAATATTAGAACGGATGTGACTTTGGTATTGTGTCTTTGTAATATGCTTGAGTTGAAATATTAACAAGATAAGTTGAACAAGCACTATGGATGCAATGTACTAAGCTTGATGGCTTGTAGTTTGCTGTAATGTTCTTCGGTAAAACTTGGTATAAAAAATCATAAACTAATTCCATAGTAATTACATGGCAATGAATTCTCAATAAATGGTTTGGGAAAAAACATTGGGAAAGACCCAAACACCTATCCCAAACGAAAGAGACAGCAGAAGGAATTTTCGAATTTCAAAAACTTTCAAAAAATAATCAGCCCTCAAACTGGGAGCATATATACTTTTATTATATCTAAATAATGATCGAGAGATGCATTTGATGGTTTTAACTTTCTGGGCCTGACCACATGGTCACTTCACCTTAATTGGATCATATTCCATGAAGATATTAACTAACTTGGCTGCTTGAAAGTGGTGGTTTAAATTCTTCCTTGTAAACGATTACATTGTAACACGATTATGAAACTAGCAATCATTGTTTTCATCCTCCCATTATGCTTTTGCAATTATATAATAACGTAGTCATTATCATGAGGTCACAAAGATATTTATAATTAATTGAGGGTCACTTACTGCGGTAACTTGATAGAGTATTGGAGAACTGATTCAGCTTAGTATTGTGCTTTAATTCTAAAAAACTGAAGTGATTGTGAGTGGTCATCTTTTAACTTTGCCTGTTGATAAATTTGCGTATTATTTTCTTCTGTAATTTTCGCAATATATAGGAATATCTTTGCTTATGATGTATTCATAATGATAGACATGGGCGTGGAGAGAGGAATTCGCTTGGAGGGTTTAAATGAAGAGCAGATATCTAAGGCACTAGAGGATCTTGCTAAAGGAGGAGCATCCCGGTAAAGGATGTCAACTGCTTTCCTTTCCGACACTTCTTTTTCTGGAAACAATAAAATTCCACCTGGTATCTTCTTTTAGCTGATCATCTCTATCATTTTAATGATGAACCTAGTGGAACTAATGTAATTCTCTACTATTGTCGACCTTTGATGGAATCTGTTCTGTGAAAACAGTTTTTCTTTTTTTTTTTTTTTGCCGATGGTATTCATAGTGGATTTGCCCGGTGGACACAAGAGTCTTGAAGCTCTTATGCTGTCATGGATTGACTTATTGGGCTACCATCTTGAACTATACTGAGATATATATATATATATATATGCTGACTCTATTTTCTTTATGCCTTCCTTGCTTCTCTTTTGGGGTTAACTTTGGTTTTCAACATTCCCCTTAATGATTTGAGGAATTTGGTAAAGGTAGATTAGAGTGGAGTAATTTTTCTGCACATAATTTATGTCTCTTAAATTTTTGGATGGAAGAGGACATAGTTGTTGATTTATGTGAACAACTTCATGATGTGTGAAGTTGAAGAATCAAGGGACTTGAGGTTTGATTCTTCGAAGAACTAAATTGTTTTAGAAAATTGTTGATTTATTGATTTGTGAGCAAATACTTGATATATATTTGGCTTCCTTCCCTAACTGATTGGTGTTGATCTGACGTATCGATGTATATATGACAACAATATATAATCTCTCCGCTTGCTTCATTTTTTGCGTCATTATGCTTAACATTAATAATATTTTTATATTTGTATAATTTTTTGTACAAATGTAATTATATTGATATTATATAAGAGTAATAAGATAATAATAGAAGTATTTTGTCATTTGTATGACGTTATCCTTAAACTTTGGGATTTATAAAGATTACAAGTCAATTAATATATGTCAAATTTCATCAATTTTATATAAAGCATCCATAATATATATATATACAATTTGGGAAGGAAGATTTTCTCAAATCATCATTGTATAATATGTGTTATTTGTAATAAAGATATGTATTGTTTGTTTATGATTACGGCGTGTATAAATGATATGTGTCATATATCATATGTTATTTGTTAACACATTGCGTATTGTTAGCACTGTGGTGAATTTTAGCCGCCTTCATACAATTTGGATTTAAATAATTTTTTATGACAGTATTTTCCACAATTATGAATAAAATATTTTATAATATAGGGTAAATTATATAATATTCATTTGTGATATAGTAAAAATGCATAAAACACTCTATATTTTATTTATTGCGTAAAACTCCTCTGTAGATGTAAAATTTGCATGAAACACATTCATTGTCCAAGTTCTAAATAAATACCTAACTTATGCAAGTTTTATATAAATAAAAAAATGTAAAATATCTTAAATAATTTTTTGAATAAATGAATGAATCATTTATTTATTCAATAAATTATAAAAGATATTTTATTTCTTTTATTTGTATAAAATCTGCATTATTTGGTTCATATTTACGATAAAATATCAATTTTTGATGAAAATAGTGTTTCGTAAAAACTTTATATCAAACAATAAATAAAAATAGAGTATTTTATATATTTTTACTAAAACACAAATGTTGTAATATATTTATAGCAGTTGTTGTAAATGAAACATAAATAGCTATAAGTTATTGTCTCAATTGTATAACATTAGCATGTAGTGCAATTTAATGAATCTAATGAGTGTTAATGGATGAATAATATTACACAATTAACGTGCCTTTCGATAAAGCTTGGATTAATTTTATACTCCCTTCCTTTATGCTAGTTATACTTTATGCCACAATGTTTGAGTACTGAAATTAAAAATAGTAGTATTTTAAAATAAAATTAGGGTTAATAAAAATAAAATTAGAGTATTATGAAAAAATTATTAAAGAATTAATAATAAAATAGTGGGATAAGTAAAATAAAAAAAAAAAAAAAGTAGTAGTAAATTCATTATTATTTGTTAAAATAAGTGTTATGAAATCGTGAGTTGATGAAATTGTTTACTTTAAATGAATTATGCATAATTTAACCGACAACTTAAAAAAGAAAAATGACATAATTATCCCGACGAAAGAAGTATCATTCATCACTTTTTTTTTTTCTTTAATATAATTTCAACATGGGTTCTATTTTCTTTAAGTGGATATCTAATATTGGGTTTGTATTTGAGTTTTGAGTTTGGATATTAATTCGACATAATGGTTTGTTATTATATTAACTACATTATAAAAACTGGAGAAAAAAAATAAAAAAAAAAATCTTAAAAAGACGAAATTGCAATAAAAACGCAATTTAATGCCATCCATGCGTTTCCTTTATAAATTTGACTGGTAGACAACAATATTTGCATCTATATATAGATATTGCTATATAAACTTCATTACATCAAATGTGTTCTATTCTGATATAAAAAAACAAAATGACTTTGAGAATCCTTCCTCTATGGTTGCTCTTAACATACATTGTGTGTAATTCTTGCAACAACTTGTCAGTGGTGGCGCAGTTTCCTGGTCCGCCGACGACGATTCATGTAATAAGCGGCGTGCCTGCTGGAAACAAGGTTGTCAGTGCGTACGTTGAGGCCGAGGAGCAAGTGCAAGGTGATCAACACGTAGCCCATCTCCAGCCGGGACAGGAGACTACGATTGAAGTTAAACTTGTGGAGAACGAGCATTATGGGGTTGCCGGGTTTGTTACTTCCGACTTGAAAAAAATTGCAGCATTTATTGCTTATGATAAAGTTCGCGACACGGGACATTCAGACATATACTGGAAAGTGACCGATATAGGGATCGACATGAGTTATGATACGACTACTTGGAGACAAATGGTCCATTGGCCGTGATATGTCGTTTCGAATGCTATATATTATGAAGATTAAACCATGTCTTTTTTTCTTTTTTATAAAAGTGAGTGTTTTGTTATTTTTAACAAAAATATGCATATTTTACATATACAATCAGGCCGTCTCGGATATTTTCAAGGCTCTGATAAAAAATAAATAATAGGCCATTTTCCGCTAATGTAGAGTAGATTGCCGGCCCGAATTTGCGATACAGAAAATTTTACAATATCGTGACTATTAAAACCAATAACTCAATAATAATAACACAAATTCTAAATGGGAAGAATATAAGATTAATTTTTAAAAAATGTGGTCATAATTCATTAGAATTATAATTGGATTTCATATTAATTTTAGAAAAAATATGGTTAGAGTTTATTAGAATTAAAATTGGATGGGATAATTATCGAAAAATTTATGAGATAAAATTTAAATTAAATTTTAATATATCTAAATAATAATATTGGACTTTAAAAGTATTTACGAATTGTAAAGGCGAGGAAGATAGAATTAATTTTTAAAAAAATTGGTTAGAATTTAATTTTTGAATGAAAATTAGATTGTGTAATTGTTAGAGAAAAATAAATGATAAAATCTAAATTAAATTGTAATATATCTAATATAGTGAGATAAAATTAAAAAATATGGCCCCGAACAATTGCTTGTATTGCTTCTACTAAGAGCAGACTCTGTAAAGAATGAGAGGCACATTTAATAATATTCTATAGTATGATTGTATAATTTTTATGAATAATACTAATGTATTATAATTTTATTTTACGAAATAAACACATTCTATTGTATTTTGTAGATTAAATTTATGTTAACTCCACCCATTAAATATGTATGATAATAATATTGTTATTACATAATACTCCATAATATAATTAATATAATTATGTTATATTATATGATAATAATAAGAAAATTTTATTTATACTTTATTTTGTATTTTGAAAAGTTTACATTATACCATTTTAAAAAATATTAAAAAAATTCATTGTGGGGCTAGTGAGGTCGAGCTCTACATCTCTAGCGCGCCTTCGAATACAAACCTTCCACAAGATAAAATTTTGGTTGTTGTTTTGTCTATTTGTTGGCTAGTTAGTGAAGAAGAGACTGATGCTTGGAGAAAAAGAGAGTCTGTCATTAATAAAAATAGTATATTTGTAACGGAATTTCGTCCCAAAAGTTTTATATAGCTAATGTAATTTAATCTCTAATTTCGTTTTAATATCATTAGTAACAAAAATAGTGAATTTAAAAATGAAAAAACCTTGTTACATTGATATTTTCCTGTAGTGTGTCAGCTTGGGCGATCCTTTGCCTATGTGATTTCACTTTGAAGTATTGTATATATTAGCTCTATTATTCTGTATTTGAGGTATCTCAATGTTACTAGTATTAAATCCAAAGGTGCTAAGGTGGATGTAGTAGTTGTGTTGAATTTTTTTGGTTAATTGATTTACAAAAAAATAAAGAGAACTTTGAATTGGCGAATTCCATGCTTTATTATTGTTCTATGTTGGCATAATATAGTTATATAAGAAACTTTGATGATTGTATTTTGCATATGAATAATATTGATTTGTAATACCATTGGAGAGATTTATTGTTTTAATATTTTTTTGGAGTCAGATTTGCATATCCGAGTTTATTTCTGTATTGGTCATATGATAACTCTGATAGTGAATAGAGATTAAATTAATTGAATAGACTATTTAGGTAAATAATGTTTAGGTAAATAATGTGCACATTTTTTTTTTATTTCTTTTGGCCTATTTGAGAAAACTTAAAGTTGTGTTCTTTGTAAGTTTTACCGTAGGTTTTCACTATTCAGATTTTTCTTTTCTCCAAAAATATCAAATCAAAAAATTACTTTTCTTTTTCTATATTATACTGCAAATTTATTTTACATTCAAAATATCGTATCAATCTCTATTTATATCATATCATGCAACTATTCAAATTAATTTTGTATTAGTAATAAGAAATTGTCATTCTTGTCAATCCAATTGGGATGCCCTGGATAGGACATGTCACTTCAATTAAAAGAAAAACAACTTCAATTACCTTGTACATGATGCAAAAAAAAAAGAGATATCTCACAACTAAGGAACTACAGCAGCTAAAATTGCTCACAGCACAGCTTCAACCAAAGCTTGCTTCAGTGCTTCTGTATTTATCTCCCTGGTGGACAAACTTCCATCCATCATGGGATGCTTTAGAATAAGAAACTCTGAAATTCTTTATTTCAATCATAAGAATTCTTTATTTATAACTATCATAAATATAATATATATTTTTTAAATATATTTTAACACTCCTCCTCAAACTCAAGATATTAT